GCAGATAGTGAACGACCTAATCAATAATTATGCGAAAATGGGCGTAAATATGTCTTTAAAAATTCACTTTCTCCACTCACATTTGAGCTTTTTTCCGGCAAATCTTGGCGACGAAAGTGATGAACATGGCGAAAGGTTTCATCAGCAAATGAAATTAATTGAGAATCGATATCAAGGATTCTGGGACGTCGCAATGATGGGTGATTACTGCTGGTTTCTCATAAGAGAAACCGATCCTAAACTGAATAAGCGTCAAAGTAGAACACATAATTATTTCGACAACATAGTAAAATCAAATTAAGATAAAGATTGTTAGAATATAGTATAAACATAAATAAATTTAAAAAAAAAGTTAAAAATATGGGTATGGGTAAAAGGTTTTCGAGATCCTCCCCGCAAAGTACAATTTTTTTTATATTTTTACAAAAAAAATTGAAAAAATCGGTAATGATTGTTCGTTATCTTCGGAATCAGGGGGTGATTTTACATACGAATTTCATAACGGCGTCTCTGGTAAATTTTGGCCGTCGACCAGTGTTATTTATCCTCAAAGCGTCACCCATATACGGTTTTTGAACCTTGTGGTGGCATCTTTGTAGTCGCCAGGGAATGCGGATGGATCATACAGTGGCTGCTTGTGGCGTTTTCTGCCACTTGCTGCCTACTAGACATCGCTCCTTTCGTTTTTCCAACCACTCCTGCTACTCCATCACAGCAAATATCCGCACACTTGCTCCCTTTCAAACCATTTTTCTTTAAAAATCTGTCGATAGCTTTAAAAATTTCGTCACCAGTGGTGAAAGTCTCAAGTACTCCTCCCATCAAAAGTTCTTCCTCGATTTGCGTGGAGAATGGGTACCTCACAAACACAAGAACAACAGCAAGTCCCACTACGTCGGTACTTTCGTCAAAGCTGCAAACTAAAAAATTCAAAGCTTTCAATATTTTTATAAGTTCGTTCTCGACTGCCTCTGAAATTGTGTTGATTCGCCCTTTCACAGTGTTATTGTGAAGCTCCGAAAAATAAGTAACGCGAAGCTGCTGCGCTGATTACGAGAGCAGTCCAGCCAGCAAAATAATCCGAAAACTAATCGGACAACGGAAAGAAAAGTGGATGAAATGGGGATTTTTGTCCGTTTATTGATTCAATTTGCGGACACCTTGACGTTTCGTTTCACACTACCGAAAATGGTTGTGTAAAGGATAAGTTTTCGGCTGTTTTTCTGGTTCAATTTTTCGTTGACAAAATGCACTGGTGAGCTACGCTTAAGAGCGAAATACACCACACAAGCGTCTTGACAAAACAAGCGAAATATCCCTTTGCCTCAAGACATTTGTGCTGTGTATGGGGTTTGACAAGCCGCTTGAGGGAAATTTGAACAAAAATCTAAATTTTTTGATTTTCTGGCCACCACGTGGACGTTTTATCAAACCACTTGCATTGTGTATGGCAAAATCGCCTCATTTGCAACGAAATTTTCACCGAGTGAGGACGTGGGAGAGAAGAATGGAAGAAAATTAAAATTTGTTGCATGCTGAACCGGAAGAAAACTAAAATTGTTTGCTTGAACGAGTCATGTTTGCATGGTGTTTGGCGATATGGAGAAAGTAGCTTGTCGAACAGTAGACACAAGATAGTAAAACTGTTACCATATACTAAAAATTAACTCTACTGCTTAATTACAAAACTTTAATGAAAGTTTAAAAAATTTGCCTCCACCACTACTACATATACACTATCCGGTAGCGGCACCCCTGGCAGTACTCTGGCGAATGAAGATGCCATAAAATATCCTATTGAGTTTTATCCTAAGCATCCTACCTGTTGTACTTAAAGAAGGTGTTGAGCTTTTGTTCGCTTGCACTTGCCTACATCCAACAACTCTCAACTGAAAGCTCTCAATTCTTACCATTGAGCGTAAAATCAATCATTTCAAAACTCTGATGGAAAAGAAAGTGATTGTGCTTTCAAAAAGGCAATGCCCTGATTTTCCTTCGACTCATCTGGTCACCCTAAGAAGGAGAGATGCAATCTCAAACATGCATAGGGTGCTGAACACAAAAGAGTAGAAAGCTATATTAGAATGTTTAAGGGCGCATGGGAGTACGGTAAAGAAAACCAACAGCAGCAACATAAACATTACCACTATCTCTCTGTTTTTAACAAGAGCACAGACTGCTAAATTCATAACTTGCCGAATCCTAAAAACTTAGTAGACAATGCAACTTTGACACAGGCCACACACGTTGAACACTTGTTGGCTAAGTTTTCATCCTCAGTTACTTACTTACATATGTGTGTGCAAAAAAATTGATATAGCGGTTTCAAAGGCAGACCAAGACTGGCCAATAGACAACCAAACGACTTCAATGAAACTAATATATATACTAGGGTTACAAACGAGACAAATCAGCAATTATGTTACTAACAAAACGTCGAAGATATCTCCCTCGTAAAATAGCATTTTAGTGACGTGCGAAAATACTTTAAACGCCAACGCGCCTGCAGAATACTATACTCATAATTATATGTACATATATGTATATGTATATATGTATATACATATATACATGTATCCATATACAAAAAAACATATATGTATGTGTGTAAAAAAAATACTGTTCATACGTATTTCCAAGTATGTGGTTTATATATGGAAGTGGACAGAAGTCCCCACATTATTGTCATCAGGATTGTCAAATTGTCAACCATCCACCAAACTTGACTACGAATCGTGCTGAATACAGAATTTGTTAAAATGTGAAGAGACACAAGCATGAACAATAATAGAAGTTACGTACATATGTATATGTATAATTTTTAGAATGAAATGGCGTAAAGTGTGTATCTCTGGAGATATATCGCGTCTAGATGGGAAATTCCAAATGATAAAAAATTTGTTTGAAATCGAGATATTGTGGCTGTGTTTAAAATGTCAGAAGTCGTCGATACAGAACTATTAGTGAATTGCACAATACTCGCTTTCAGGCGATTTGACCTCAATACAATTGTTAACTCGTCAACATTAAATAGCCTTAACCGGACGGAAATTATCAGTCTGCTGTCAGGAATAATAGAGAATAAGGACAACTTGGAAAACATTAACGAAGCGAAGTGAGTTCAATAGATAATATTTTGTGTTTAGGAATCGAGCTGTATGTACATGCATTAGGCTGATTAAAAAACCCGTTTTGTTTTTAAATTTATGTGCGATGTCTTTGAAAGCATCAAGAAAAAACATGTTGCTGAAAATTTGAAAGAAATCGGTGATCGTTTAGGGGTTCCTCAACGCGATTATTAATTCTCAACAAAGCACCGGAAATACATCTTCGGTCAAAAATATCGCCTATTTTCCACAAATATTGAGCTAAATATCTAAAATTTCGCACGTACCATTGTTAAAGACCAGGACTGCAAACCCCTCCAAAAACCGGTGCGGTTCGGTTCAGTGGTTCGGACCATTTAGAAAAAGCTTGTACCGGTTCATGAACCGGTGCATGAGTATTCCTGAATCGCAGTTCGGTTCGGTTCAAATGGTTAAATTTATTTAATGCTCAAGGATAAAAATTTTACAAAAATGTGACAAATCTATGTACACTGCCGGAACAAAATATTGGCACAGCAAATTTTTCACAATATATGCAACAATTTTTATTCTAATATTTTTTCGCCAATTTTGTATAAAAATATGGTTCATTCAACAACAAAAAACATAAAAATATAATTCCTAAACTTTGTGCAAAACTCGCGAAAAATTTTAGAGTTTTGCAGCTCATTCTAGTAAAAAAATGCAAGTTCGGAGTTAGCCAAAAATCGCGTTGATTTTTGAGATTTTCTTTTTTTGTTGAAGGTGTTTTGCATTTTTTCCATATAAATTATTTTGGAAAACAATTTGTTGTATGGAAGATACTGCGTGAAAAAAGCCAAAAATCGACGGTAAATCCTAGCTACTTAAAACTTGCACTTTATTATAATAAAATTGACTCGGCTACTGTATATACCGTGATAAAGAAACTTCTTTTCGTGCTGTCAAAACCGGTTTTGAAAGCGACTAATAGAAGATGTGTGTCGATCCCATTCTCACGGGTCTTTTCCAAGTTTTGGGCTGTTGCGAATACGATATATATGGTGGATTTGGCAGATCTGAAGCCACACTAGTAAGGCGCAATCAGTTCGTTAATGGTGGGCTTCAGTCTTTCACAAAAAACGCTCGATTAAATAGTTGGCGCGCATGGCGGGGTCGCCTTTCTTGTGGATTGAGCAGAGCACACTTGAATTTCAGTCGTTGGGCATGCACTTTATCAGCTCCTCACCATCGTACTTGAATAGCTCGGCTGGCAGGCCGTCAGCTCTAGCAACTTTGTTATTTTTCATCACCATAATCGCTATTCATACCTCGTCATAGTCCGGCGCTGGGACATCTATTCCATCGTCATCGACTGGGGGCTCGGGTTCGTCTTCTGCTCCCATTCAAAAGGGTCGAAAATTGTCCCCTCCTTTGCTCACACGTGTTTCGACCTCTCTCTTCTTATTGCGGTGAATACGTCCAGCTTCCCCCTTCAGTTCTCTATAACGGTTCCACATGGCTCGCGTTGCGTCCGATCGCAGCGTGGTCCTGTAGGCGGCAGCTTCTTGACACTCCTCATGGTACCAGTAATGAACCGGAAATGTGGTTTCACTGCTCGCGTATGTCGGTTTGTTGAAGAGTGCTCTTTCACAGCAGGTATTAGAGTCGAGTGACGAATGAATTGGCCGTTTGTTGTGATTGCAGCTTTTCGGCGTTGAGCTTTTTCCATGCATTGTTGCACATTTTTCGCTGCACGAAGGCGGGTGAGTATTTTGGCTGCAACAAGATACTGGTGCGAGTCGATGTTTGGCCCTCGGAGTGTAAGTATGTACATCTATAACACCGGAAGCGTGCCTTCCGTCTATCACAACATACTCGATTTGGTCTCTCATTTTTCGAGCTGAAAACAGCCATGTAGCTTTATGAATCTTTTTATGCTAGAACCCAGTACTACATACTAACATGTTTCGGGCCCGGCGAAGTCGAAGAGCCGCAGCTCGTTATCGAAGGTTTCGTCGCGGAGGATGAATTTTCCGATAGTGGCACCAAAGATCTCTTCCGTGCCCACCTTGACATCGAAGTCGCCAAGCACGAGTTTTATATCGTGACGGGGGAAACGCTCGAATGTTATATCCAAGCGCTCATAGAATATATCCTCGGGGTATCGGCGCATATGAGCGAGATGGTGAAGAATCTCTTTTTGATGCGGATTGGGGCTAGCCGTTCGTCGACTTACCTTCGCGTTACCCTGCCTTGCCCCGTCCATCGCATTTCTTGGATGGCGGTGATGTCAGCCTTAGTCTTCCCGAGGACACCAACAGCCGGGCAGAGGCACCTTCCCCATTAAGGGTCCAGATATACCCCCCATCACCTTTATACGTTTGCCGTGGTCGAAATAAAAGAGGGGGTCTCATCCGAGGCTTTTCTTACTTGGACGGGGTTTTAATGTGGGGGACCCGCACCCTGCGCACGCGAAGTTTTGCGCCTCACTCCCAGAAGATACGTGGATATAAATATCCGGACGTAGTGAGCGAATATTTCAACTAAATCCCGTATAGTAAACCAAATAGCCGGACAAGACGTTGCATTAGATCTAAAAATCTTCGATGTATTTTATTGACTTGCATCCCTAAGGAAAATATGGTATAACACAAAATGATGGCAAATTTAGCCAGAAAGAGGAAGGTTGCAGGGTTGCGTTTTTGCAAATTAAGACGAAAATCGTAAATTTCTAGAACAATTCGATTCATCCGAATTTCAGCACCACAATGTTCGATTTCCAAAATTCGGGATTTTGGAGCTAAAATTCGATGAAAACTCGAATCTCGAAGCTTCGATAATCGAATTTACATATTCCTAATATATATATACATCTCACGTTAGCTCGCTAGAGGATACGTGGATATAAATATCCGGACGTAGTGAGCGTATATTTCAACTAAATCCTGTATAGTAAACCAAATAGCCGGACAAGACGTTGCATCAGATGGAAAAAACTTCGATGTATTTTATTGACTTGCATCCCTAAGGCAAATATGGTGTCTGTAGGGTGATTAACTGTATGTTTTTACACTTGTTTAAATTCTTGAAGTTAAATTTAATGTTCTATGAATTTGTTTGTTATTAGAAAAGAAAAATGTTTATTAATAAATAAACTTTCTGTATTAAAACTTAAAAGATATTTCTTCTAAAAATTAAATCATCTAATGAAATCTCTAGAAATATCTTTTAAGTTTTAATACAGAAAGTTTATTTATTAATAAAAATTTTCTTTTTAACAACAAACAAATTCATAGAACCATAAACTGCAAATCAAGAATTTAAACAAGTATAAAAACATACAAGTAAAATACCCTACATATACATATCATTAGATGATTTAATTTTTAGAAGAAATATCTTTTAAGTTTTAATACAGAAAGTTTATTTATTAATCAAAAATTTTCTTTTTAACAGCAAACAAATTCATAGAACCATAAACTGAAAATCAAGAATTTAAACAAGTATAAAAATATACAAGTAAAATACAAATGTAGGGTAATTAACTGTATGTTTTTACACTTGTTTAAATTCTTGAAGTTAAATTTATTGTTCTATGAATTGGTTTGTTATTAGAAGAGAAAAATTTTGATTATTAATAAACTAGTTTCAAACAAGAAAGAAATAAATATTTTTAAATTGAATATCATATTTTATGATATATTGGCGATCCTGCAAGGAGGTGAAGTTCGAGCCAGTTCTTAGTGAAATGCGTGAAGGTGTATAGCTTTCATCGAATGAGTTATCGGCATATAAATACATTGCACTGATTCGCGTCTTGCGATGAAACTGCACATTTACTAATGCGGTAGTTAGCTATCAGACTGCCAATAAGTGTCGATTATCATATCACGCAGACGTTCAACGCCAAATCCTGGTTTGCAAGACAACAGACTCCAAACAGCTTGGTTGCCAATTTCTCGCACAGCTCCGGAAAGTTTAAGTGGAAGCAGATCTTGGTTTCTGATCTCCTCATCGCCGCTCCCTTCCGTTTTGACAAAAATTTATAAGAAGGGTTTGTCCTATTGCCAGGAGCAATTGATAAAGGTCATAGCATCAACAAAAGCAACAGCAGTTTCGCAACTATCAACGTATCTATACCAGCAGCATCAGCTACCACCGCATTAGCAGCCATATATTGCCGTCTCAAGATTATGAGTTGCATCATTGTTTAGATAGCAGAAAGGAAAATCAGGTCAACAGCTACTATAACTGATGTAGCAACAGTAGCAGAGTTATTTTCAGTTTTCCTGTTACAGGTAACGAAGTAACAGAAATTAGTAGTTGTTTTTCATTAAAAAAAAAAAAAATCGTGTCTTAAGTCTTTCGTTTAATCATTCAGCTTTTGTGAATATGTTAATTACTCTTCGACTTTGTTTACTTGTTTTTAAAATCAAAATTATTTATTAACAAAACAGAACAAAATTAATTTAAATTAATTTGGAGATTTATCAACCTACCATTTTAAATATAATTAAAATTTAAACCCATTTTTTTTAAAGAAATTTAGAATTACAACTAGATAATATAAATAATTTTATATTAATATAATTAATTTTTATTAACATTTATTTAAGCTTTTAGTACTTTCTTCGTCTATAAATATATGTATACATAAATATTTGTGTTAATTTAAATTATTGTTACTTATATTTATTTTGTACACTTTTCTCCAGTTTATTTCAAAATGCAAAGATCACCAATACGTACACGCAACTTCACAACAACAACAGAAAATCAACACGAAAATCCAATACACACATCAGACATAAACATTTCACAAAGTATACAATCTAATAACTTTCCAAATGAAAATAACTTAAGTGCGAATTTATCAAAATCTATTAAATTGCCTCATTTTTGGGAAGATTGTCCTGAAGCATGGTTTCTCCTTGTGGAAGGACAATTCGAAATTAACAATATATGTGATGATAATATCAAATTTTAAAATATTCTAGTTTTTCTTCAAAAATAATCAGTTTCTAAAATTATTGATGTTATTAATCCG